TGACAATTTTAAACCAACTTGATAATAACAAAACCTGCTTTATCTTGTCAATGAGATGAGAGGTTATCTCCTACATACGTATTGAATTGCAACCCCTTTAGGGTAAAGGCTGTGTCATCTGTCCTATCCTTAAAAACTTTTGCATAACTTGGGAGCTGTAGGTATAATAGTAATGTTGAGGGACAGACTACATTACTAGAAGAATATTACCTCAGAAAAGGAGGTTTCAAGTTCATTTCATACAGGTGTAATAGCTTTCATAGTTTCTCTCAAAGAGAAGTTTATAGCAAAAGTTTCAACGAAGTGCTCATGTCTTGAAAATATTCAGTTTTTTTTTTCTCTTTCTGCCTTCTCTTCATTGTGTGAAACCTCCTGTATTCTTTCTTGTGCTTTTACATTTAATGTCTGTTGTTTGCCTTCCTTATCATCGTGTCTTCTGTTGTTACCATGTGCTCCACTTGCTGTCACTAGAGCATCTCATCTATAATTCCTTAGACTGATGTGGGTTCTGAAGATGCCTTCTTCAGCGTTAACTGCTTGCCACATAGTCTGAAAAGCTGAGCCAGATCAGGGCTAAAAAGGGTATTCTGTATACTTGATTCCCAGTGTCTTTTTGCAATAGATGTAAAAGAGGGTTTTCTGGTCCAAACTGGTCCAAAACTCCAGTTCCTAGTCTAAATGGGTTTATAACTGAAGTCTCAGTGAACACTTTCTGCAAGTTGGTAAGGTTTTAGATTCTGGTTAGATGTATGTAACTCTTTGGATTTTGATATTGACAATATAACTTCAAAAATGTTTTTCATGAGATTTGAGCTGATGAACTGGAAATACCATTATTATATTCTCAGTTTAGAAGATTTCAGGTCATAATCAAATGGAGTATGGAAATTAATACCTTATGCTTGCCCAAGGAAACATAACACCATAGGTCTGTGTTCTGCCCTAGGGAATAAATTTTCAATGTATTTGAAATCATTATTAAAAGTTTAGATTTACCACGTCAGAAGTGATAATTATTTTAATTGGAATGATTGATGCCCACTTGAAGGATTTCACTTTTGCATTGAGGTATATTCTATTACTTATAATGAGTCTCTTGATGGTCTCATGGCAATGCACTAATTCATGCCGGAAGTCTTCAGACAGTTCCTGGCAATTAACTTAGCTGAGAAAGAGAACCTGTTGTTACATCCTGATATTCTGAATACAAAACCAAATTCCAGTAAACACGATTGTTACCTCTTCTTCATTTTATTGTGGGCTGACTGCTATGAAAACTGAAGATGACAAGCTATACTGATAAAGGAAGATAAAATGGAAACCTCCTTTAAAAAAAAAAAAAAGATCATACCATTTTGGCATGCAATTTATCCCTTTTTCCATCTTAAAATAAAAATTGATTGCCAGGTTGGTATTCTGTGTGATCTTACTCTCTCTTTTACACAAAAGCTTACCTATTTTCTGCCTTCTAATTCTCAGAAATAGTTATTTTAAAATGCATGTTATTTTCGTAGTTACTGGTGTTTTGAATTTGGAGGTATTGATGCAGTGTGTTTTATTAATTATTCTACACAATCTGCTTGCAGGGGAACATATCTTAAAATGTAAAGAGATGCCTAAAACTACTTCTACTTCTACATCTGTTTATCTCTGTGAGAGTTCCTTGTAAGAAATACCATTCACACTACCACCAAATACTGGGACGTGTATGCTTTAGGAATATAAATGATAGTGTTCAAAGCTTTTGAGTTTATTGTTTCAATATCTATAGAAAACTCATATTCAATCTGTTCACAGTGATACATATTTTCAAAGTTTTCTTCTCAAACTCGTATGATAGAAATACTTTTTTGAAATTACAAGTTAGGCTCAGGAGTGTATTTCTGAGTAAAGAAATAGGTGAGTATTGGGTCCCTTTATAAATTCTACATATATCAAATATGCGAATTTAAATATTTACTTCTTCAATAGCCCTTGTAAGTTTCTGACAAGTTTGCTTACTAACAACAGAGACACTGATTTTTTCTTTGTGTACAGCGGGAAGTTACAGCAGTTGCATGCCTTCTGATTTGTTTGAATTATTGAGTACTGTGCATCAACTTGCTTGGAAATACTCCTCAGTCTTCTTAGTAAAGCTATCTTTCTAGTAAGTCTTGAAAAATGCTTGGAAAAGGTATACCAAAAAGGAATTAGATAAGTTTTACTTACATATAGTGCAGACTTTTTTTCATTGTGTGAGTAGATACTACTGGAAACATTTTTAACTTCCCCTTCCTTTTCATATACTTTTATAGTGGGTTGACCTTGGCTGGCCACCAAATGCCCACCCAGCCGCTCTCTCCCTTCCGCTCCTCAGCAGGACAGGGGAAGCAAAAAAGATGGAGGAACTCATGGGTCAAGATAAGGATGGGGAGATCACTCGGCAATTACCATCATGGGCAAAACAGACTCGACTTGGGGAAGACTAATTTATTAGAAATTAATAAGAGAATAGGATAGTGAGAAATAAAAACAAAACTAAAACCACCTTTCCCTCACTTCTTCCCAGGCTCAAATTCACTCCTTTGTTCCTGGCTTTTCTACCTCCCCCTTCCACCAAGCAGTGCAGGGTGACCGGGAATGGGAGTTATGGTCAGTCCTCCTCCTCCTCCTCCTCCTTCCCTGACCTTGGTGTCTGCAGAGATGTTTCTCTCATGTGTTTTTTTTGGTGTTTTTTTTTTTGTTTGTTTTTTTTTTCTGACTTATCTCTCACAGCTGCTCCACAGCTTTTTTCACCCTTTGTTAAAATATGTTATCACAGAGGCACCACCACCTTGGCTGATGGGCTCAGGTGTGCCTGGCAGTAGGTCTGTTGGAGCTGGCTGTAACCAGCTGGAACCGGCTGTGTCCGGCATGGGGCAGCTCTGGCCTCTCCTCACAGATGCTGCCCGTGCAGCCCCCCCTGCCCATAAATATCTGGGCACCAACACTCAATGCAACCTTGAAGAAACCAACTGCGCTGAAACACACATGATGTTAAATATTGTTCTTGCTGTGACTCAGAGCTGAAGCTCTTCGTCTTGCTTGGTTTTGCTCAAACACCTCCAAAATTATTTATTAGCATATTGATAGTTTTTATTAGCATAGAGTAATGTTTGCCCCTCATAGGAAGAATATGTTCATTTGAGGGGTGGGTGGGCATAATGAGGTACTTAGTCATTGCAATTGAGTGCTTTAAAATTACATAGCTGTACACACAATTTAATATAGGTGTTGCAACATCTTACTTATATGCAAGCATGCAATTTTACCAAATGAAACTTGCACATTTTATTTAGTCATGATAAAGGTAAGATTGTCTTAATTTGGGGTTCAAGGGCAGTAAAGGGCATATTAGGATAGCCATCATTGGCAGTCTAGTATGTTTGAGTGAGGGTCCAATAAATTTAATTAATGTATAATGTCATCATAAAGTCTACCACTCACAACTTTAGTCTACCATTAACTCAGATTGTTCTTTTTTTTTTTTTATTTACTGAAGTATTTTATTTATGACTCTGCAGCCTCTCTCCTACATCCACCAAACCACTTGTTCTGTAGGCTTTAATTTGCCACTGAAATTATTTATACTGGATAAAAGATAAATCTACCTCATGGCTGAAGACAGCCAGCAGATCATACACCTTTCCTGAGGCATTCAATGGTGGCTTGAGAAGTGTTATAGTGTAACTGAAATTTGAATATGCTTGTTAGATAAAGGATCAGCCTGTCTTAATTTTCCTGATTTCAGGGACATTCCCAGAATACCTGACAGCACACATGCACAGCTGGAGTCCAGTAAGTTTCAATTGTGGGGTAGGAAAATCTTCTCTTTCTTTTGTGTAAGCACAAATAGATTAAAAAATGTCATCTGCAGTCAGTATAGCTCTTGTCTCTTTGTCCATATTTGTCTCAATATGTCATCTTACTGTATTATCTATCTACCTTTGTTTAATAATAAATTATCAAAAGTCAGGATATTTTGATTTAGGCTTGACATTTGGTTATAAGCTTAGGATATTTTTGACTGAAAAGAAAAGCATAATTCTAACTAATATACAAGAATATTAATAGTAATTTTTAATTTCCTGCTTTGTTGTTCTGCATTTCAATTGAACCTTATAAACTAAAAATGGGGATGAATTGTTCTTTATTTACAACCTGAGAGACAGCTACTTTGAAATCAGAATACTTCTACTTTATTAGAACCATTCAGTACTCCTTAAATCTGCTAAACCAGTATTTCATGTGGGGAAAAATAGCTTGTTCTTTGGCTTAGATCTGAGAAGATAGATTCCAGCCTGGAGATATTTTTTATCATCATCTTAGAACTCTTTCATAGTAGAAGCCATGAATAAATGCAGTGGCATAAACTTGATTATAATAATATGAAAAAGTCCTCCAATAACTCTTCACTGATCAGCCAACTCTTAAAATAAGATCCATTTTGTGTTTGTGAGATGTGGATTGTCTTTTGTATTTATAAAAATAGTTTACTTTTGCTCTGTGTTTTATATGTCAAAATCTGTCCTCTGACAGTTACAGACCTTGTAGATTTGAAAGAAAATGCATAAAGCCCATTACATGCATTTTGACATTTCTGTAAAAATCTAGTTAAAAATTAGTCTGATTGTACAAGATAATAAGTCAGAAGGCTGAATTCCTTTGACCACAGTAAAGTGTTTATTTTACTATTTAGGAGTTTTGGACCTTCAACTTACTGACATAATTGCAGTCAGAAATATCTGAATAAACTGTTTTTCATTCTATAAATAAAAGCTTTTGATTGCATCTGAGCACCAAAAGCTTAATTATCATTATTTGGTAGTTTTAAATAGATAAAAAAGTGATATTTATCACAACTTTATTGTATGTTTAGTTATATTTCTTCAATTTTTATTTAAAGAATGTTGTGGAAAAAGCACAAGTGCTACTATTTGTAAAATATTTTTATTTATAATTACAGGTTCTAGTTCATTTGAATCTCAAAAAATGGACCGACCTTCAATTTCAGTGACTTCTCCTATGAGTCCTGGCATGTTAAGGGATGTTCCACAGTTCTTGTCTGGACAACTTTCAGTATGTAAACATTTCATTGATATTAATGTTGTGCTTTTTGCAGCATATACAACTCTCACTGCGCAGTGCAAGCTAACTCTTACATAAATTTCTTGTTAAACTAGCTAAATTTTTTGGTTAACGCTACATATCTCAGTGTAGGCAGGGCCATGGTTTCATAAGGACATTCCATTTTATTAGCTTTTGGAAATTTTGTGTATGTTGAATTAGATGTATATATGTATATTTATCTAGTAAGCTAGACTCATAGAGTCAAATTTTCAAAATGTCTAATCTTGATCTCCAGTTATGTTTGTGCCGTTGAGTGTATACACTTTTTCAGCTGTAACAGTTACATGTACAGTTGGTAGATTTTATTACCTGTGTGCTTGGACATTAATATTGCTTATTTCTCATGCACTAGCTTTCATATATGTCTTTCCCCAGATATCTCTTTGATTGTTTACTAACGTTGTATTCTTTGTACCAGTGTTACTCACTTTTGTTCTTCACTCTCATTGAGAACAAAATTCATTACATGAATGTTTTCTTTAAAAGGGTAATTTTTTGTACTTAACTGAAGAACTTGTGCTTTGTACACCTTTCTGTGTCATTTACAACTCCAAAGTGTGATTTTTCAAAAGTGCTCAGTTGTGGCCTGGTATACATTGAAAAGGAGAGGAAAATGGAATGGAAGCAGTGCAAAACTGATGTTAAACAAGTTTGAAAATTGTCACGTTCATATTTCTTCCAAGTTATTTATGTTAAGATAATGACTGCGCCATAAAAATATGCATAAAAATCTAAGCATACTGTTTATAGGTCTCACAGAAATGGTTTATGGTATTGTTAGAGAAGAGGAAGAAATATTTTTCTGTCTGTTCGGCAGCCATGTTGGTTCCATTTTGCAGTGCATGAGACTGTTTTGCTCATCAGACCAGCCATCTACACTATATAATTTTAATTTTATGTAACTATTGTACTTGACTACTTTGAAAAATTCAATCCTTTGGATAAACAGAAAACTAGATATATTGACTATAGAGTGCAGAATACTTTGCACAAAATACAGTAACAAGGGAACATGAACATGAATTGTCAAAATACACAGACTGAAGTTCCTAAAAACCAATTTAGTTTTACAAAACAGCAAAAATTGTTCATAGTGGAAACAGGGGGGAAAGAAATCTCTTTTGACTAAATCTCATAAAAGATCAGGCTGTCAAAAAGTTTTGGTTCCTGGCTCCCAGCATGAAATTCAAGATCCAGAGTTAGCTGCTCAAACATCCAATGCACAGACACTGCGGATGATTGTCCAAGTAGGAACCACACGGAACAGACTTCCTCACTTTCTCAGTTTCAGAAACAAAATCTTCAGGAGTCGAACTTTAGGATTTATTAGTAAAGGCAGTAAGCCTTTGATTTTGTGGTCTGATAGGATATTGCAGTTTGAGGTACATGAGAATAGTATCAGAAGATTTGGAGGTGTATTCTAATTTACTGAGAATAACAGAATTCACAAGGTTTTATATCTCAGAATGGCATATAAATTCACTGTTTAACTCAAGAAGGCATCATTCCTATTTTTAATTATGTTTTGCTTGTTTCAAGATATAAATACCTTTATTAATAAGTTTATAGCATTTCTTTCCATCTAAGGAAATCAAATAATATTATGAGACATTTAAAGATCTTTCCTACTTTTGTTCTCTTTGGACTCCCTTATGTACTATTTGCAATTATATACAATACTCCCTACTTCACAATATCCTTGTTTCCCTCAGAGAGCAGCTGATATCTGAGAGTGCCACGCTCCAGTTGACTGACACTGAAGTCAGAAATGCTCAGTGACTCTCTAAGTTAAAGTCCCACTGCCTCAATCTAGATACCTAACATGAGTAGAGAGTTTGAAAATTTGGACGCTTACCTTATCTCACCAGCGAAAGAAGAGTTGGAAATAGCTGTATTTCATGTTAATCATATTAATGGCACAACCCAGCTCCTGCTGCTATTGGCTCAAGGCTTTGGGAGGCTAGTACTAAATCTTTGGTTTTGCAAGGAAGGATGGCTGTCACAATGTCTGAAGATGGTGTGGATAGAGATAGCAACGTGGCACCTAAGTGGGCACATTGAAATGTGTAGACTAAAACATATTTTTAGAAAAAGATTACTTTAAGAGAATTGAAGAATTCTACAGGAACGTTTTTTTCAAAACAGTAAATATCTGTAGTTTCTTTTTCATCTGGTATTTTAAGTTAGTTTTGAAAAATCACAATTTTTTTTTACTTTTCAAATTTGGGAGTTTATGTGTCTTGAATATAGTGCAATGAATAGTTTTTCCTTCACTTGTAAAAATGTTGGTTTCTCATTTTATGACTTTAAAAGGTTTTGAAACATTGGAAGATTTAGTGAAAAAAACTCTTTGTAGAGCTGGAGAAGTTTTGACCTTTACCAAAGATGAAATAATAGGGAAAAACTGAATTTTAAAAATCTTCTCAAGTTCCAAAAAAAATTTTATTTTGAACACCACAAAACAGAGAAGCTTCAGTATTTTGGTTTTCTGTAGTTTTCATCAGCTCATTTCTGACAGAACAGTTGATGGAACACTAATTCATTCCAAATAGCTAAGTAAAATGGAAATGGAAGGAAATACTAAATTCCAAATGTAATTGGGAACGTGCTTTTTATGGTGGGTGCCTAGGCAGGAGAATAACTGCAGAGCCCTGGCAGAAGATGGGGACAGGATGCTGTTCTTTGTGGAAGTGGGGAGTCAGTTGACTTTCTGGGCAATGCTGGCTGAATTCAGACAGGTGTGATGAATCTGAGGAAAGAGATGATTGGCAAGATTTTAGAAGTGTTTTCTGTGTTTTCTGTTCTTTTGGACAATACCATGTAGTCCTGGTGGATGGTTGTTAGGGCAGCTGTGGTTAATAGGCTGTGAAATACGGAAGTTTTGGACAGAAGTGGAGATACCTACAGTTCAGGTGGAGATCTGAAGTACCTGAATAAATACTTGGATATATGCATCCTTAGTCAGACAGCGCTACAGATCCTTCAAAGTTTTTTATATTAATAGTGTTTTGGAATGTGTTTCTCTATGTTCAGTATGGTTTTAGCCAGTTTAGCTGCAGTGATGCCCATCTATTATTCAGGGATGTCTTTCTCTGTCTGTTCAGTCTTCCATGTTTTCCTCTGTATTGGTGTTGGTCTGTATAGCAGTTTTCTTCTGTTGAGGTTACAGTGTCACTCCAGGGCTGGCTAATGGGTTTTCCCATGAAGCAGTACATCACACATAGCTAAGAAATCTTATTTCCATTAATAATTATTCTGCCCAAATACATATTTATTCGAACAAATTATGTGCAGCTACAGTAAACTATTATGTGTTATAATTTACTAAGGTATTTAAATAATTTATCTATTCTGTGCAGTTTATTTTATGGCATTTTTAATCCACACTTTTCTTTCAGGGGAGTATCCAACTGTTATTGCAATTATTGTTTTATTAATATTTGCTTTGTCTGGTCCCTCTTTCTGTGGTTTCTCACTGATTTGTTTTTCCTTTAATATAATTTTGAAAAAGTCAGTGTTGTTTGTGTGTTGGTGCTCTTCGCTTCATTACTGCATTCTGGCTACTTATTCCATACTGCATGAAAAGTATAACTTGGAGTGCTTTTGCAATAGTTAGGTTTAGAGACTGGAAACATGACTAGAAGACCATGTAAATAGATACAGGTATAAAATCACGATGTTTCATTTTTGTAATGGTGGAAAATCTAACAGAAAAGGGATGTAATTTATAAAATTAATCTATGTCCTTGTACAGCTGAACCACAGAACCACTTCAGTAGATTTTCCATACATGTTCAGTTTATAAAGCAATAAAAATACAGGTATATTAATTATAGTTGTAATATCTGTAGCATATTAGAAAGCAGATATTGTACACTGTGAAGGACATAATATGTCAGCGTATTGGGAGGATGAGGTCAAGTATGAGACATGTTCCCTTTCCCCCTTTCGTGTTTTCCTTTTCCCCTTTTTTTCTCCCCTTTCTACCTCTGCACAGGTAAATTGCTGTTGCTCTATTGTTAAAATCTGGAAAGTTCTAGGTAGTGCATACAATGTGCTTATTGCCCTCCATTTTCCAAGGCAGAATATGGCAGGTGAGGGTCCTTGGTGCGTGGTGGGAGATATTCTATCACTCTTAGGACTGCGATATTCTGGAATGTTTGTGTTCCTCTTGTAATATGGAGCAGAAGCAAGCTGAAGATCTACTTTTATTGTATGTGAGCAGGTCACATTCTGGCACCCATATGTTGGGCTATGCAGTACTGTGTGCGGAGTCGGAGCAGTGGGCAGCTGCTGTACCTTGCAGAGCACAGGAGCACATCAGACAAAATCTGTGATCCAGACTGTTGAATTTTCTTATATATCCTCTTGATTTGGTGTGAGAACAAATTACTTCACACATTTTATGGAACAGATTTCTCCAGCATCTGTGCATGCCAAGTAAGCAAGGAGGGTGGCAGTAGCATCATCACACTGCCTATCTCTAGACTTTGGGTACATTTCTTATGGAAGTGAATATTACAGAATGACACAGAATCACAGAATTGGTTTGGTTGGAAGAGACCTCTGGGATCATCAAGTCCAACCTTTGCCCTAACACCATCATGTCAACTAGACCATGGCACTAAGTGCCACGTCCAGTCTTTTGTTAAACACCTCCAGGGATGGTGACTCCACCACCTCCCTGGGCAGTCCATTCCAATGCCTAACGACCCTTTCTGTAAAGAAATACCTCCTAAATATTGAGTACTAGCTTCTTTCCATCAGTTTGAAATAGATCAATAATCTCAGGAAAAATGAGCAGGGAGGTAAAGAAGATTCAAATCTGTCAGACTGCTGTGGTTGTTGTGGCCTAGTCCCATGCTCCTGCTCCCCCGCTCACTGGCCCTCTGAGGTATAAACATGTGCTCCTGTTCCTGTCCATCCCCCATACTCTGTACCCTTTCTGTGCTACTCCATTAGCTGTTGCCCCAAGGCGAAGATGGGGAGAGGTTGGTTGGAGTTTGTAAGTAGTCCAGGAATTTAGGAGTGTTGCCTGTACTGATGTAGCCATTGGAAGCCACAAGGCTGTATGTGATCTGAAATGCATCTATGTGTGCAATGCAGCTAAGTTTGCTAAATGCTCTAGATCCCATTTCATGCAAGGGTTTTTTGTGTATACCATATGTCATTTCTGTCATGATTGCTAGCGAATTGAAGTACATCGATTCTACCTTCCCCCAAGTAACACTAATACCAGATAGCACTAACTTTCTTTTAATCGTTTTTAAAGGGTTTAGGATGGCTTTTTATAGAAATGCCTCTTAAAGTTGCAGAAAAGAGAAAATCTTTTACTTTACTCTAGAAAGCAACCAAAGCTCTCATTGCGTGAACTGTACTTGTTCTGTCTCTGAATATGCATCTATAATCTTCCTGAAAGAGATGATCAAACTTAACTTATGTTTCCTACCCCACTTTTAAATCACACTTTGCTGACCTGCTCCTTTTGTTAATGCTATTTCTAAATCTATTGTAAATGTTATCTGTAGACCTGTAAAGTGAAATCCTTGCTCCTGGGGAATCAGTGACAAAATTCCTGCACCCTAAGGCCAGAATTTCCATCACAGGGTTTTGATATGATTGGTAACAGATTTGCAGATTTAATTTATGCATTGCATTAAAATACTTTGTGTTAGATAAATATGTCGTTGGTGTAAAGCTGTGTTTAAAGTAATAGTTGTGTGTCTTTGTTTTTACTTTTGGTCTTTTAGTTTCCAGCGTGTTGTCCTTTTTGGTTTTGTTTTATTGCTTTTTCTTTAATTTTGCTTACCAGAGCCAAAGCCTTAGTAGAAGAACAACGCCTTTTGTTCCTAGGGTTCAGGTAAAGACTTCGTCTGCCTGACAGAAACTAAAGTTGTGGTATTTTCTTTTGTTTGTTATGGAAAATGCATAGTAGGAAAACGTTACATTATAGTCCGTTTTCCCATATTTTTAATGTGTTGCTTTAAACCATATTAGCAAATTTCATGTCATCTTGTGAGCAGCTTGTAAAATTCTGCATGAGGGTTAAAATACTAAATTAAAATTTAAAGAGACAACTAGTTTTTCGTTGCTGTTTACCCAATATTAAACTCATACAGGTTTCAATAGTGTGATGGCTATGCATCCCACATACGAAATGTGTGTACTGTTTAAAGCAATAATTTTGTGCTTGAGGTCATTATAGAAAGATGAATGTCTCTTTAAATCATTCATTATCATTACTTACCACATCCTTTTTTGCATTTTCCAAGTAATAGTAGCGCCTCGAGTGGAAGACAGGCAAAAAATTTGTACCTTGTTTAAAGAAACAAATTTCTTGTGTATGAATCTTGGTTCTTGCATTTTAAAAGTACCTCAAAATAACCCAAACTCTATTTAAATAAAAAATGAATTGTCCCATTGTGTTACTGAATTTGTTTAGCTTTGGTATTCTGTTTAGGTACAAGTTGTTTGCCTTTTTTCATTAGGAAACTCCTAAGGTAATGTAGATTAACGCAAAAGTAGGTTTTACTAATAAGTTACAATGCTTATCTTGCTTTGCTGCATGTTTTTCAGTTTTTCGTAAATGGAGTATTATCTACTTTTCTTACAAAATATCTTCATGGAGATGTTAATCTTTTGTGTGGGGGCTGTATAAATGTTTCTCTTGTTTGATCAGTTGCTCAAGGAAAGATGTAAAGGATGATCTAAATGATCAGATTGAGATGACTAAATTTCATATTGAAATGGAAAAAAGATCTTAGCTATATTTATAAAGGAATTCTAAATAAGTCTGTAGGAAATGGTTGGTTATGACTCATATTTGATAAAAACCCAATTTTTTTCACAATATATTATTTCCTGAAAGTAGTCATTACAACTGCTTAAATGTAAATTCAAAGTAAAAAAAACTAAGAAAAAAACTGAGATTAAAAAAATAATGTCTTGATAGTATTATTTTACGTTAACATATTATTATGTGCTACTGACATAAACTGGCTTTATATTAAAAATGTAAAACATCCTTTAGTGTGATTAAGAAAGTTGGCTTCTGATCATGGTAATGAAATCAAACAGGGGTATAAATTCAATCACAAGTTGTTAAGTAGTTCATAAAGGTAAACATTGTATATGACTTAAGTAGTCTTAACATTTATTTCTTTTTAGCTATGTGCAAAATAAATTAAGAAATGATATGACGATTGTTCAATTTAGAAAGGAAATATCTGCCTGAAACATGCATGTTTCATGAAATATACTATAATGCAGAAGTAACATATAGTAGTTCCTTATTTTAATCACATTAAATAAAATAAAGAAATAGAGATAAAAATTGTCAGTTCTGCTTAGACTAATATCCTCTAATAAAAAAAATTACTTTAATCAAATGATTATAGTAGTCATTTAAGAAAATAAACAAGTGTAATGCTTGATAGAGAATACCCAACAAGAGGTGAAAGTGTTTGAGGCTTACTCTCTTACCTTTGGTTGGATTATTTTTGATATTGTAGATAAGAATTGTCTTTAGCCCCGATTTTGTTTCTGCATAACGTCTGTGGAGCCAGTGTAGACCTCTCTAACAGTTTTTTGCAGAGCTCAGTAGCAGTCAAAGCTGAACATAATGTTTGCGACAAGTTCCTGAAGAAGTCAAACTTATGACAATGGCAACATCTTTACAACTAGACTGAAACAAAAAAATCCTCCATCTGCCCACTTTTGGTAGGGATGAGAGATAGTTTAAAATGGATTAATTTCAGATATGATTACAATGCAGGCTGCAGAGAACAGAAATTCTCCAGTGATCTTTAAACAAAGGTATTGGAAGCAGTCCAGCAGCAGTGCAGAACTCTGGTTACTTTTTGGCATGAGATATTAGCTAACTCAGAGCTCTGAGCTCTTGTTCATGGTTATCAGGAAGTATACATTACATTGTGGGCTGTGGTACAGCTGTGTCTGTAGAATTCCCTAGGCAATGATGATCTCCAAGCATTCTGTTTACACCTACTTGTTTCATTGCTTTCAACAGGAAGCACACATCTTTATTCTTGCTTGCATCTTTACTTGTTAGTCTGAAACTGATCCTGGTGATAAATGTCCCAGATTCTGGCACAAGTTCCTCTTCCACACTTCTCTCCATGTCATTCCATTCATTTTCTAGCTCTTGTATCACTGGATGATTTAAAACTCATCATTATTATTTTGTTGGGAAGAAAAACACTTGATTTCTTTTTTTCCCTACTATGCACCCTTCTCCCGAACTTTTACGAATTCTACAGTACTTGGAAAAGTGCATATTTATTTCCTGAACTTTTAGATTCAGTTTAGCATACCAGCAGTTTTCTGACTTACAGAGTGATGCTTTGCAACACCTTTGCAGGGAACGATCTGTTCTTAAATTGTTGTTTTCCATGCAATATCTCTTGTTTACTTGGTGGAGCCTCCTTTTGAGCCAGAGCTGACATGAAACCACCGGGTTTTTTTCTAACTTCAAAAATTTCAGACATCCTTTTTGCTTTAATGCAGAACATCAGTATATTTGATCATGTATAAAAAATATATGCATGCATCTATTTGGCATTATTGAAATCAAGATAAAGCCACTAAAGAATTTTTTTAAAGAAATCTAGATTACAGCATCCTAAATACCTCCATAATTTTCTGGCCTTCATATTCTAGAAACTCTTCAACTTTACAGCCTTTTCTTGTATTTTTTTCCAGCATATCAGACAGTAGCTGAAGCAGACAGAAATAATAGTTTGGTTTAGCAACCCTCAGTAGTCAGGATTTGTTAGAGGTATGTTTAACAACATCCAAAGCTCACCTCAGCTACACTGAAAACTACCACCTCAGGGCAGATTCTGCATCTACATAAGCTTAAGTCCAAATAAAACGATTGCTGTAAGCATTTTTTAAAACAAATTGAGAATTATTTTTTTTCAACAACAGATCCTGCTGGTGTAGCTCTTGTTTCAGAATAATGCAAGAAAGAAAAGTACTATCTTGGTTTTAAAATATTACACTAATAAACAGCTATGTAGGTTACATGAAATATTCTAATGAACAATTGAAGAACAAAAATGCCTGGCCAGCTGTCTCTCAAAGCCAGTGATGTTTGAGTAGGCTGTGGTGGTAGAAATCAAGCTGCAGGGCAGGCAGCCTCTCCCAGTAACACAATTTTTATCTTATAAAGAAATAAAGTGTAGGATAGAATGAAAAACTTCAAATATTCTCTGTTTTTAAATCTAAAGTTATCACTTAAGATATGGTGTGCCTGTATGTGCAGTACACAAAACCACATTAGAATTGCATAGTTAAGCAAACCGTCAAACATTGATGAGACAGGAATATAGGAAGTGGCAATATTAATATTATCTAGATTTTCTTAACTGATTTCCCTTATGCATATGTATTAGAGTATGGGTCCTAATTGTGTGTTTACTTCTTTTCTAGAACTCTGACCTCAATCATTGTTCTGAATAAAATTTCTAGTTAAGATGAGACCTAAAAGAAAAAGGATGAAACCTAGTAAAGTGAATTTATATCCTTAATTTATATAACTTAACTTACGCTAGCTTCAAATAAGTCTGACGTGCCTTGGGGAGGAACTTAGACTTGTACAGTTGAAGGAAAGAACTAAGTAGCTCAGTGTCTGCAGTGAGTGATCCAGCTCAAATAAAGGACATCTATCCGCATTAACTCTGTTTGAAACTTAGGCTACTCCAGAGGGTGAGTTGATTCTCCAGAGGGAGGCAGCGTCTTCTGAGGCTAGAGGACCAAACAGAAATTCTAGATACCTGCATCTTCACTTCTCCGAATGCAACACCAGCAGTCAGCTTTTATATACTGTTCTATGTGTGGCAGGCTCATTCCAGAAAGAGGGCATCTGTGTTTTAAGCCCTGTTTAGATTGAACAGAATGAACCTGTCTGTCAGAGAAGTGCCTTTATCATCAAGCTATTGCACATCCCTTTCTTCTCTGGAGTATGAAGTCTCATCTGAAGCTGAGATACTGTGTGGCTAGGAATATAAGTGTGTGGTGACAGCAAAGAAAGCTTAATTTTAGTGTAGCAGATTCCAGACCTGCTACCCAGAATGTGTATTGATCTTGTGTTAGACGACTATTGGTTAAAAAGCAGAAAGAATCCTATGAAGCTGGGACCAGATGCTCATCTCTGTTTCCTCCTGATGACTACCTTCATAACCTGACTGCAGAAGAGTTCTTGTTTCTTGCGCTCTGCATGGCAGATATTCTGACCTGGAAGCCTGTCTCAAGGAGTGCAGCAGATGCACCACTCTGTGGATAACAGACCATCTCAAAAGTTCAGGATGCATTGAATTTAGATGCCTGTTTACCTGAATGTAGGTTACAATGGAAGTTTAGTCAAGAATTAGGTGCACCTCTGCCTAGGGAAGGAAAGTATATGAGCATGTGTGTCGCAGATGAGTTTCTAAGACTTCAACACTAAGTGGAAAGATCTTTGGAAAGCATTCAGCTAGTATCGCTTTCTAAGTGAATTTTAAAAGCCTACATCCTAAATTATATAGGTAGACAAAGTCCTATTGAAGAAGTTATTTACAGGTGTTAGCCTTCACATTAACATCAGTTGGCATGGTTTTCCTGTGATGTATTTTATGTGTTGTAATTTTAGCTTTCACTTTCCTTCATTTAGATCAGGGTTGCACATCGCAGTTTCTTAGATGTTCTAAGCTTTTAAAAGTGCCATTCCTGCATGTGTAAAAAAACTGCTGAATGGAGGGTTTGTGGATTCTGCTCTGTTAGTCAGCTGCTTAAGTCTTTCAGTGCTGAGCATCACACTGTATGTTGTTGTGAGACTTTCACCCTATGAATTGAATAATTCAATGTTCTTCACTTTTTGGTGTTAGGAAACTTTTCTGCATACAACTCAACAAACTTATAAAAGAAAAAAATAATTTCCTTATCAACTTTTCTATTATACATTTGCTATCCCATGTTTATTTTGCAACATAAAATATATGTAGTATTCTACGAAGTGTGGTAGGATTGTCCTGCATTTATTCATTAAGAATTGAGAAACTATGATCAGAGTCTGAGACACCCAGGTTCTGTCCAGGCATAATACACACCTCAGACGTCAATTCCAGTGCTTTACTTAGCACTGTAAATCAGGCTCCAGGGTGTCATGCCAGGCTCCCAGACAATGAAGAACATGCAATTTGTAAATAACTTTTGAAATGTCTTAAGGGATACACAAGAGATCTGAGAAAAAGGAAAGGACAGAATCCAGTCCTCTTGGACTGCGCTTGGCTGTCTTAAATGGCTGTCCTTTCTTTCCTTGTGAATAGAAAAGAAAAGGTTCTTGTAGGATAATACTATATCATCTGAATATTGTCATAGTATTTATGCACAGGAGAGTCAGAATTAGATCAATCCGATTCCTAAACTAATTTTCTATGTTCAGTATGCTAGTCTAACTCCTTGTATCTCATTTTCCTTTCCAATTTCCTGCCTTGACTTGTCAGATTTTCTTTCATCCTAGTCTCTCTGTGCAACATATTTTGCACTAGTTACAGAACGGCTGGTTCTTTTGTCGCCTCATTCCATTTGTCTCATTCGGTTTTTGCCCCTCTATTCTTCTATGGTCCCTGACATTAGTGGCTCCATTCTTCCTGTGTTTCACCAAGGAGCTTCCGGTACACTTTACTTCCTCAGTAATTCTAAAGCAGTTTCTGGTTTGTCCCTTCTTCCTTCTTGTAACTCCATGGGAATGCAATCCCAGCCTCGCCTCCATGGGGTTCTTTGTGCATAATCTCACTTGCAGTTTCTTCCTTTCTTCTCTTTGCATCCAAGTCAAATGACTTCTTGGGTTACAAGTGCCTGTGCTGTATATTGGAGTGCTAGCAATGTGAACACAGAAGAGAGAGAGCCTTCTAGTCATAATTCTGCCTCCTGACCTTTCCTGTAACAAACCAAATTACAGAGAATTACAGGGAAACTATGCCCATTATGTACAAGTTTTTCCAATTTTTTTCAGAGCATTAAAAGAAAAGTAGAGTGTATAAGTCAATGCAAATGTTGAGTTCTTATTCCAAAACACAGATGTTAGAGCATCTCAAAGAAATGATACCAGATGATTTAACTTTCTGCTTAGAGTCATTCTCCAAACATTTTGACTAAGATTTCCTGGAAAAAATCAGTCTGAAACAAATATAGTGAGGAAATATTTAGCCTGAATATGGACGCATAATCCATTTATATTTTTGGCACCCATGTCTGGATTATCTCACCTTCACTCAGTCACAGTTTGTGATAGTGTCTGGATCACAAATATATTGCATTCTGCTTAAGCAAGGATAATTTTTCCCAAAAAAGCAGATGAAGGACATTGTCTTCAGTGCTACTCCCCTTGGAGTGCGGGACTCGTCAAGCCTGTCCTTTGCCCAAGGACTCCCAAAGAAGCCTGCAGGTGGATACATTTAGTGTCAGAGAACATTTAAGTTGACTTGGACTTCAGAGGTTATTACAGCTTTGCTTTGGATTCATAGAGTTGGTGCAAAGCTTTCTACTTGTGATCTGTAGCTGGATGAAGATACCTAGTAGTCCAGATATTTCTCAGTTTAAAGAAAAATACTGACAAAGCTCCTTGCTAAATCTGACATATTGAGGATAATTTCTCTCACACAGTTTTCTGCTTTAGTAGCCACAGAGCCCTTCAACTGTTGGTACCAGAAACACATAAAGTCAGTAGTAGGGCCAATGACGTGATAACAGAGGACAAGTATCCTCCCGTTTTTAATATCCATTCAAACACTGCTGGTTGGTGGCTACAGGAGTTGCAAGATCTAAAGCAATGGAGAAGGAAGAAGTACACTGCCACTGTTGATTGAGTTGGTATGTCAGTGTAATCTCACTTATTAGGAATGGCAGAAAAATAAATCAGCGTCTTGTTGGTGGGTCAAAAGTCTTGAGAATTGCATCAAGACCTTTCTTTAAGTGACAGAAATGCTGAAGATGGGGAGTTATGACAGCAGATGGAGACCGTGTCTCTGAAATTATTTGAGATGGGCTCCACAGAAACCTTCCCCTGGTTATGTTTACCTTAGCTAGGGCATATGCATGCCTAAAATTGCACAGCTTGGTTAGGTGTGGAGTTGGGCATTATCTAGGCAGGGTCAGTGTTTCCTTTAAATGTTCTAGTTTGTCCTCTGTCTCAGGCAAACTCCCCTTGAAGAGAGCCTTCTTTGTCAGCTGTAGTTAGTGATACTGCAGTGGTGCCACCATGTAATGACTCCCTGGCTATTTGGAAAGCTTTGTTTTGTCCTAACTGCACCATTTCCCCCTTCCACAGTGACTGCTCCAAAGTAGGTATATCCTCTCCTTGAATAACGTATTTGCAGCTATAGTATTCAAACTGAAATAGCTAAATAGCAGCTTCTAATGACTGTAGTAAAAAAGAATGGCAGACCAAGTCTAAGACTGACTAATAATAATTTCTACAGATAAGTAATAGTAGCTTTTGCCTTGTTGTTGCTGAGTTGGACTGTGAAGAGGATTGGACTACTGAGCCTTCCTTTCTTGCAATTTCTGGAGGGCCTATATGATTTCAGCATGAGTCTCTGCATCTTGAAAAACATTTAGAGATTTGAAATATTTATGGTCTTATCCCATAGTCTTTCCAGCACAACAGGACATGAAAAATTCATTCATTCATTGTGCATGAACTCCTTAGAAATGTATATATGTATGAGTACCACACATCAGTAATGCAAGTCATACAATATCACTGCCAAGAGACAATAATCCTAACCAAAGCACCAGGTGAAAAACAATTAGTATGAAATAATGTACTTATTGTACAGGGTTTTTAAAAAAAGAGTAACTCCTGGTACATAATGAAGCTATTATAGTATGTATTTATTTTTATACTTTGTTATAAATACAAAGTAGAACATGGTATCTTCTGTTTAAGTAACCAATATAAATAGAAGCTTATGAGCAAAATTAATTTTAAGGATTAATATGCTACTTTGTTGTAGAAATGAATTCACTAATTAATATTTTCTCATTACAGATAAAACTGTGGTATGACAAGGTTGGTCATCAGTTAATAGTGACAATATTGGGAGCAAAGGATCTTCCTTCAAGGGAAGATGGGAGGCCAAGGAATCCTTATGTTAAAATTTACTTTCTTCCAGACAGAAGGTAGGGTGAACACAAAGACAAGGAACATTTGAATAAGAATTAGTCTGATACTCAGATGGCATGCACAGCTGACCTTACTGGTCATGCATATATGGAAAAAATCTTATAGTTTGGAGTTTCTTTATTGAGTATGCTATGTAACAGCAATGTGTCTTTGAACACTAAACACAAACTCACTTTCACTGGATGTTTTATTATATACTGAATAGAAAAGGAAAGGTAAACATATGTCATTGCATGTAGATCTGTTATTTGCAAAGAATGTTGTTAGTGTTTTATAACGCTCTTATTTCCTATGACAGTTATTCCTGTCTAGTGCAAAGAAAATGCTACAAAGTTAGGTTCACAGATTTCTTGACTGATTAGACTGGCAGTTTGGTTTGCGCCACCTTTACACAACAAAGCAGAAACAGGTTTGGCATCTGAAACCCGTAGATTTCATATCACAGTATAAGTGAGTGAAGGCTGAAGGGGACTCAGTTGAGATTTCCCAGATGCACCTCGAAAACTTCCCCTAAAGAACAGGACTGATATTAATCTGGACTGGCATTATATATGCATTTGGGGAAAATGAAACTGTGATAGGGACCCTTATTCCTGAATAGCTCCTTCATTTTTTAGTCTATGATTTTTGCCATCTCAACTTAGGTGGTGGGAAGAACGGCAATGGGGATAATGTGTTCCTGAGTTGATATTTTTATTGGTATTTCCTCAGATTGTGTCAGTAGGGGAACATGGTTAGCTTTGTTTTGTAGTGTATCAGCCAAATAATTCAAAGATTTAACCTGACTCAGTATGTAAAAGATTGATCAGTGGATTGCTGAATCTGTAGAATAAGAATACAGTTTATATTTTTACATCCTTTGTTTTTCCTAAGAGCTAAACCTGGAAAATGCTAACTACCTCCAGTACCAATTGACTTTAGCAGGAATTAAAGCTATTCAGTGCTTTGGAAGACACGAAAACTTTCTGTGACTGTATAATTTGCTATATCATTGATGACAAAAAAGTTTTTGGATGGATTGTCTTGGGCTTACCAGTATTTGAACTGTTGGACTACCTTCTTAGTTTATTCAAATTGCTGTAGTGTGTTTGGAGATGCTGAAGCTGTGCTAAACTGAAAATCAGGTCTGGTTAAATTATCTGTTTTTTTCAAGATTAACAAAGCTACCAAAAATGTCTGTGTTCAGAAAGTTTCACAATGTAATTTGTAGTAACTAAAAATACATAGAAGGAAAATATTTAGTTAAATACTTTCAAGTATACAGGTACAAGAAATTACGTAACATTAAATTTTATTATGCTATACTGCTGCTTCCCATTTATGTGAAGTATTCAGATCTTTTTCTTTAATTATTATGTCTGTTTTCTGTCGCTTATATAAGAATCAGCAATTTGTCTTATTGAATTGTGGGGGTTTTTTTGTGATGTGAAAATTAATTTTCCTTTCCTTAGAGGTAAAAACTAAGTAAGCAACAGTGTATTTCTGGTGTAGTAGAAGGAAACATGCTAGAGGTAAAATACACTTAAATAAGTACAGTGTTTAATTAGATGAAGATACTGAACTCTCTTTGATTAAACAAATTTCGTTGGAAAAGCTTGTCCAATGTAACTAATTTCATTTCTCAAGGGTAAACAAATCTTTAGTGTAATAGAAATAATTACATTATTTGTTTTAACAATGTATCTAAAAAGGTTATTTTTTAGTTAATATTTTGATCCAGCTTCTAAGTAACAGTTCAGAAATATTACAGTTGCAAATATTAGCAAACGGACAGTATCTGCATTGCCATATTTAAAAATCCACTTAAATTAGTACCACAGCTGCATTATGCAGCAATCAGCAGGTTTAAAATTAGGCATTATTATAAGAACTCTTGTCAGTATTCTCAGTAGAAGGAGCGTGGGTGTTTTCCAGCAAAACTTGCTTTCATCTGAAAATATTCTTTCAAGCAGAAATACTCTGCAAAACACATTGCTTTCAACAGCATCCTGGATCCAAAGCCAGGAGTTCCATGGTTACCTGGCATGGAGACCTCTTTGGGCTCCAAAACATAAGGCCAACCTTCTAATGGAGATCCACCTTCAACCTGGGTGGTTCCTTGGGGTGACCCAAAGGACTTTGGGAGCTGTTTTAAGAACACTGTTCCTTCCAGTGTTGCTGGAAAAAGACAGATAACTCATTCTCAGGGCTTCTGGTTTCCCAGCTGTGGAGCCCTTAGTCAGGAAAACCCTGCAGAGAAGGCCCCGCGCTGCCTGCGGCTCCCTGACCATCCCTTCATGTGGGCCAGCTGCTCCCTCCTGCTCTGTGGTTTAAGAGTCAGCTGCTGTAAGACTGGAAGCTTGAGTGAACCAGCTGGCTTGTTTGTCTGAAATGCAGATTTTTGCTATGCCCAATGTTGTCTGCATACATGTTCTACTGTCAGACTGTGCCTTGTGGAAATCCCATTTGCAGAAGTATATTTTGCTTTATAAAATGCTGTTTCCAAAACAAACATTTCTGTTTTTCAGAGAACTTCTTAAAATTGGAATTGGCACATGAACTGGAAATCACCTAACTTTAGTTTTTGATATGAAGTTATGAATCATCCTCAATATGTGTGCTGAACTTTATTTTACCATAAAGGACTAATCCTGACATAGATTGTAGTGCCTATAGTACTACAAAATGTACTGCTGATTTAAGATTTCCTACTTTCCATGATGTACTTCTTACAGTATAACAGTCTTTTGAACATTTTTAATATTTAATTGTTTTTTGCAGTGATAAAAATAAAAGAAGAACAAAAACAGTAAAGAAAACATTGGAACCTAAGTGGAATCAGACGTTCATTTATTCTCCAGTTCATCGGAGAGAGTTTAGAGAAAGAATGTTAGAAATTACTCTTTGGGACCAAGCACGAGTTCGAGAGGAAGAAAGTGAATTTTTAGGAGAGGTATACAATTATTGGTACTTACTATAGAAATACAGTTGCTCACGTATTCATGTCTAGGCATAGTATTTTTGAAAAAATTATTAAATATAGCAAAGCAAAACTGTTTTAAATTCTTGCATTTGTCCTTCTTTCACTTAGTGGTAAACAAATAGTGATCTTGCACATCACATAGTAGTGATATGAGGTTTTTTCTGAGTTTGTTCTATTTTAGTAACAGCATGCACATGGTTTCGCAATTTCTTTTAGACTTGTTTGTTAAAATCCGTATTATCCATAGTTGTATTTTACCAAAATGTTGGAGTATTGCTGACTAACTTGCTACAAAATATTTGAATGTTGTAAAGGTTGTCATAAGGTAATAAAGGTTTTGTGAAAGATTTTTGGTATGTTTAGTGTAAAAGGCACAGGAACTCCTTTCATATTAAATACAAGATTTTTATAAAACTTCAGACAAAGTCCTTAACAATAAGAGAATAATAGAATAAAATTTATGAACATACCTATTTTAAAATACTCTGTTATGTAATGCTTTCCTGCTTTTAATCATTTTTTCTTTTTTTAGATTCTTATTGAGTTAGAGACAGCGTTACTGGATGATGAACCTCACTGGTACAAACTTCAAACGCATGATGTCTCTTCATTGCCACTTCCCCATCCCTCACCATATATGCCACGCAGGCAACTCCATGGCGAGAGTCCCACACGGAGGTTACAAAGTAGGTTGTTAGTTTTACATACTATGTATAGTTCATTTGAATTAATGTGTAAAGTGTATTAAATTCTTGTAGATGAGAAGCTGACAGAATTTGTGTGGGTTTTTGTAGCTGTTATGAATTAGGTAATTTATGATTACTGATAAGAGTCTGATGTGCTACAAATGGTAATATTGAACCCTGTGCAATACAGCAGTTTTTTCTTATGACACTATGCAGTTCAGATCCTGAGCTTGAGCAAATTATCTTGGTCTTTTGCAATGTGCTGTTTTTATCTTTAAGTCCTATCTTCTATATTATGTTTATAATTTTATTATTTAACCAAAAGTGAATGTGCAGGACCTTTCTCTTTAGCTCATACTTAAAAATAAAGTGACCTGTATATAACATCATATGTAGCTATATTAATATCATGGCCTGTTGCCTTCTTCGGATACTGTTTTACATGGTTACATTCACAAATGGAATTTCTCTTAAAATTCTGTTTTGTAGAGTTTGGTGTACTTGATCTACATTAGCTTGACATTATCAGTAGATACTTTGAAAACAGAGTATATGCAATATGCTAATAAAAATAGATACATAAGAATAAGACAGTAAAGGGTGAAAATCTGTTTCCTTAATACTTCATTGTTTCTCTAGTTTAACTGTTCAGTACTGTCAGTGATTTAAAGCTATCCTTCACTGAATTAACTTTTTTTATATCAGTTGACACTGATATAAAAAGCAACCCAAAAGCCCTGACAACCTAAAAACCATTTCTAAGAATTCTTTGAGGTTTTTTTGAATCATTGTGTGTGAGCGTGTATGTGCATATGTTACACACAAACTCACAGAATGTGAGACATGCGTGTGTAGCTGCACGAACAAGCTTGGATATTTCGTATGTTCTATGTGGATTCTCTATTAAATAATCCCTTGTATATAAGTGTTTCAAGTAGTTGCCAGTTTTTGTGTCTGTGCACTGGATGGTGAGAAGGATTAAAATGCTCCATATCATAATATTCTGAGATAGATACATTAACAGAGACTTATAGTGCATAGCCTTCAAGCTGTAAGATTATACATATCCACAAAAAGAGGAAAGAAATCATAGTTAACTGGTAAGGAGTTCTGTTTCAGTTCAATCCTCTTCAGTCTTCTCAAGTACCATGACAGTTGTTTAAGTAAACTTTTAAAATTGTTTTTCTTCTATCTTTTCTTTCATCTTGAAACACATTTTAGGAAGTTAAATTTTCCATGTAAAATTACTTTTACAGACCAGCTGGACATTTCAATATCTGCTTGTATGTGAAGTTAGTGAAATTCTGGTTTTCAGGAAATATTCAGTCCCGCAAACAAACCCTATTTGTTTAGAGTAATTCCTGTCTGTGCAATAAATAACTACCAAGAGGAATGAATAAAATAGCAACTGCTTTGTTTTGGAAAAGATTGTAGTAATACTTGACTAAAGATCTGTTCAATGATATTGACTCAAAATTTGAAAGTCAATAATTTTTTATATATATTTTTTTTAATACTAATACTATGCTCAACTGAATAATCTTATACGCCTGTCTGGAAATGTAGAGGGAAGGACTTATCAAAACTTCTGATTTGGTGAAACACTAAGATTTGGTGTAGAAGTCCTGCTTTTCAATGAAGATGATTTAGCCTGACTGTTTTTAGAGCGGTACTTTGACAACTTGAAGTTCTAAAAACTTCAGCCAAATAAGAGTGTCAGAAGTTCACTGTGATTGCTGGAGAATTTACATACTCCTACAATAAATTACGCTCTTTGCATTTGTACTGAGGTCAGGATCCCGTAAACAAGGATTTTCTCTAGTGTCTTGACAATATATGCACTTCTTGAATCCTTGTGTCTCATAGATAATTTTCAGTTTAAACAGATAGTTTTACACGTACAGAACAAGGTCTCTTGGAATTAAAATCCCTCCTTTTTGGGGACTGGAAAGGCATCCAAATGGAAATTTAGCACCTGGTCAGAATTCTGCAATGCTACTAGAATCTGTTTAGCAATTTAAAAATATGATTTTTTTAAAATTAGTGTCACACTTGGATGTCACACTTGGAAATGGAAAAAAAAGTATTGCTTGGTGTCCAGAGAGGTGGTGGAATATCCTATTGGAGATATCCAGAACTCAATTGGACAAGGCCATAAGCAATGCAATGTAAGTTGGCCAAGCCTGAAACAGGCATTGCACCAGATGGCCTCCAAAAAGCTCTTCCCAACCTAAACATCATCACCAGGGGACTGGTGAAGGGCAGAAAGCACATCTTATGACTGTTTGCCTTCACTAAGTAAAATATTTATAATATATTAATAACATGTAGAAGTCCGATTCTTTTACTTTTTTGGGGAGGTCAAAAGCATATTAAGTTAAACTTAATATCTTAGTTTCTTGTGTCTGAAGCTCTTTTTGTATTCTTCAATAACAACTCTTGTATATGATGAAACAGGAGATGTTATCCGGTGGCACATTATGACAATGTGAAAAAAATCTCCAGAATGAAGACAAGGCATGTCTACCAAGTTTGCCTATCTTTTTCAAAGCACATCTTAGAACATTTACTGTGCTGTTACACAGTAGGCTGATTTCAATTTCTAGGACTGCAAAATCTGAGCAGTTCAGTCCTTCCACCTTTTGTTCATTTCTGTGATGCCTCTATGTATAGAATTAGTGAGTACAATATGAAATACTTTATTGCATGCCCCCTCCAAATTGTTACTATGAGAAATGACGAAAGGTATTTTGAATTACAAGGTGGTTTGTTATTTGTATAAATATACATATACACATCTAAGCTTTCTTATCTTCATGATTGCCAAGGAGCTATAAATACATGTATTTAAAGACAATACTTAAATGTTATTCTCCAAAGGTAGCTTAAAAGAACCACCTACACTTACCACTTACTTATATTCTCTTTTTAATATCACTGAATTGTAGCATTCCTGAAGAAGAGCAGGCTGTCAGCCCTGAAGACTGAATTCCTATACTTACAGATAGCCAGTAGCAAAGTGCAAGCTTCCCACAGGGCCCCATATGACATTTTTTTAGGAACCAGCTTTCAGAGACAGTAGCTTAGTTTCTACATATATTTATCTCTCAATATCTTTGAGTGGGCATTATGTTGTGGCACAGACCCATCTTAGTCAGCTGTCCACCTTCTCTTGCCCAGTCCTCTGATCCATGCAATCCATTAATTTTCTAGTGATGAAGGATCATTGCCATGCTTTTTCCTTAGTATTTTTTGAAAGACATCTACTTAAAAACTGAAACTAATATGGAACATAGGATTATGACTTACTAGGTCTTTCAGCTAATTATATTTCACATTTTCATAAAATGATTGGGTTTTGTCCAATGAATGTATTTTAAGCTTTTTCTTATGTGAAATGTGAGATAAGAAATAGGTCTATTTTACTTGTCATGCTGAACTTTTGAAGTGAATTTTTAAAATGGCTTCATTTTCTCTAACAATCAACATAAAATCAGCCATACATTAAGAATTCCAGACAACTCTAACTAGAATTACAGACAAACTGAAGTTCTTTTTATATTGCTTGAGAAGAGTTTGTAAACAGAAAATTAAAGATTATTTTAAAAAAGATTTGGGAATTCCTGTTGGTGGTTAGGCCACAATATTATTGTTCCATCTCACATTAGGTGAGAGGTTTACTACAGATTAGATTGAAAATTGTATGTGGTTTGAATGTTGTGTTCATAGCTGTTAGGATCAATGGGATGGAAGTTATTGTTAATATATAGTTATTGAGAACTGATGCAGAAATCAAGCAGGGTTTATACCATGGGATTGCAAATTAAAATTTACTTCCTCTCCATGTAGTCCACGATACAGAGATAGCAGATATCAAATTGGATCTGAGACATTCTTATTTAATCTTTTACAGTTATGTCCGTGTAACGTGTGCCTTTGTGCAGTGTAAGCTGGTACTGTTTAATTGATAAAGAATACTGGGTTACTATGTATTTTGAAGAACAACAATTGGTTTTGGTTTTATATTGATTCTGAATTTGTTTTACTTCAAGTATTTTAAGAATTTCCCAGTTACTTCGGATTAAAAAATAACTGACACTAGTTTTCTAAGTCAGATTTTGCAGCTTCAAAACCAACCTGTCTGAATTATTGATCTGCAGATCACACAGAGTGGGTGTACCATGTAGCTAACAGCTAAATGCCCAAACAAGGGAAGAAATGTCAATATAACAGTAAACCCAGACATTTTCAGGTCTCTAGTTACAGCATAGGTATGTACAGCAGTGGAAGGAGAGCTTTTAATTGCCATGAGAATGCACAATATGGTTTGAAAAAGAAAAGTTTTATATTTTGAGCATCCTCCCTAAGGCAAAAGTCATAAAACTATGTGAGATAAACTCTGCTGAAAACAAAGTCTAAAAGATTTTTAGAAATCACAATGTTTGGAAATCAACATATAGAATTCCAAAATGTCGGATCAAATTGTATTTGTTCGAGAACTGAACATGAGAGAAATCAGTCAGGATCAAAGTAATTGTAAATAAATAGACTGTGAAGTAGCTTTCTTTTAAAGGGCATTTGACTTTCATTACTTCAAGAATTAAAGTCATCGATGACTCCATTCGCTGAGTTTCATGATTCTTAAGGCACGTAGAAAACATCTGGAGGGAGAGGAATTACAGTAATGAGACTTTAAACTGTGGGGACAAAAATTGAATATAGTTATGTTCTACAAAAAAATCTGCATATAGTGTGCAAAAATATATATATAACATTCTTTTTCTGAGTTTTATTTATTCATTCAGATTGGAATAAAAAAAATCTATAATGCATAAGTAAAGTGTTTTGAATCACATGAAATGTTTTTGTCATCTTTTGTCAACTTTGCACATTTTCCTGAGTCAGACTGTATTTTCTGGGGCACTGCTGAGACTTTAACATGATAAAAATTATTACATCTGACTAGAAAAAACAAATTGATAGATTGAATTCACAAATAA